GGCTGTGATCCGGCAGGGGGGCGGCTTCGTGATCAAAGAGTGTGGCCAGGCAGTGGGCGACGGCTGCATCGTGTGCTGCTGCATAAGTGGCGGTGAGGTGGAGGGGCAAGATGCGCAGCAGGTAGTTGGCACGCAGGGCGGCGCAGGACTGTAGCAACAGCCAAACGGCCTGCAAGTCGTCGAGTCCAGAGAGACGCTGGAGAAGTCGGTCGTGGTCCTCGCGTTTGCGCCAGGTGCCTGGCGACAAAAGAATCGTGCCCGAGGGGGGAACCGAGCACGGTGATCCCTTGGCACTCTGGTGGGAAAGACCCAGACTGGCTCGGCGCCGTCATCTGGCGATGTGGCTTGGCGGAGTTCCAGATCCGTGTTCTGCCCTCATGGAGACGCATCTGCGCACGGTGCCACGGGGCGGCTGCGAGGGCATCGTAAAGCGTGCGGACGCGCTCGGGTGCCGAAACGACATAAACATCGTCAAGGAAGGCGAAGATGGCATCACCTTCTAGGAGCTGGCTCTGTGGAGGAACGCGAGCGCAGCGTGCTGCGCCAGGGCGTAAAATGCAGGCATCAACGGGTCGCCTTGCTCGCCGCCCTCAGCCTGACAAACTTCATGCTCGCGGCCATCATCGTCGAACCAGGAGTAAACGCTAGGCGCGGCGCCGTGTGTAGGGCAGCAAAGGTTTCTTCCGTCACAACATGCCAAAAAAGGCACACCCTGATCTCGGTTTCGTCACATCACCGGCATGCAATCACATCTTGAATGACGAAACTCCATGCGCACATGGCCCGCTGAGCACTTGCAACGGCGTTTCTTTGCCTCAAACTTTTCGAGCTGCCCAACGAAAAGTCGCAACTGATTGGGCTGCCTAAAACGCACTGCGGACTACGCACCAGGCACGTCAGGGCCGCAGCGGCAGGCGGGTCTGGCCAGGCGATGGATTCGTGGTGGAGCTGGGTGTCCAGCCCGCAGGTTCCTGGTTGCAGTGTGGCAACCAAGGGCCTCCCAACGCCGTGCCGGCGACGGCCTGCTGCACCGCAACGGACAACATGCCCCACCATGCAACCGGCAAACGCCGCCGTTCCTCACGAAAGTGCGCACTTGGTCGTTCCAGCACCCGCCATGAGTACAATTTCTGTTTGCCGCACGTAGTAGGGCCTTGTCCTGTAAACGCAAGTGCACCTGCGTTCCTGTCAGTTCTCCGCGCCACATTGCGTGGCTGCTGTCCCCGCGTAGCTGGAAACAGGCTAACTAACTACGTACGGCCCTGCAGCTACGTCCACCGGCCCGCGGATCATGCACGCAGCTGGGTTGGATGCTATGCCAGAGTGGTCCCCTACAGTGTGGGCGTGGGCAGCTGTGTCAAAACGTGCGTATGGCATACGCTGATTTTCGACTACCCGTCAAAGGAATGCAAAACACAAAGCAGATGCCTGCGCCGCGTTTGGCACCTTGCGCACGGAGCTCACAAGCGTCACGCTAACATTGACGTGCATCTGGGCCCTTGACAGGCGAGGAACCGCCTGGCCTTGCTGACGTGCTTCCAACTGCGCCGGGGGAGGCGCCCGTGTGGGTTGGTGACCACTTGCCGGCAGGGCTTCCTCGTTCTCGGCATTCCTTTTGGGAGCGAGGCTTCGAAAAAGGATGCCTTCAGGACTAAAGCTCTCAACCACGGGCGTCTGCTGGACAAAATCCCAGGTCTGCCAAACCTTCAGTCAGCGTGGCTGCTTCTGTTGATGCGTGCCGCCCCACGTTGCAACTACCTCCTCAGGTCGCTGGCACCTTCCTTGACAGACGAGTTCTGGCCAACGATGCCCCGATAGCGCCGTGCCTCGGAGGGCCGCAGTACAGCCTACTGGGCATCTTGGGCCGACACCTTGCCGATCCTGCGCCAGCGCCACCCTAGTCTTGTGGCGGAGGCCCTCCGCCGTGCGCAGTCCCCCAACCTAGGAGGATCTGGCGAGGCAACCCGAAACCTGGCCGAACTAGCCACAGCAATGGCGCAGCTGCAGGAGGCCGGGTTTGCGTTAACTGCCGGAGTCCTTGGAGACCGGGGCAGCGCTGGAAAGGGCGGCTGCGCGCGTTGGCCGCGAAGCAGGAGCACGTGTGGCCTGCAATGTCCTCTTACGGGACATGAATCTTGACGTGCCCTTGACCGACGGCCGCCGCAAAGTTTTGGCGAATGGCCTGCCCATCTGGCAGGGTGCCCAGACGACCGTCGACACCACCCTAGTGTCACCAGTCACGCGGGCGGGCGACGCACAGCCGCAAGCCGATCGAGTCCCAGGCACGGTGCTTGAGCAGGCGGCGAAACGCAAACGCCACCGGAGCTACCCGGAGCTGGCAGTCGCCCGCCGCTGTAAACTGGTTGTGCTTCGCCTTGAAGTTGGGGCAGGTTTAGCCGAGAGGCCGTTGCCTTCCTGCGGCAGGTGGCCAAGGCTCGTGCCGTGCAGCATGCCTCCCTGCACCCATGGATGGGCACGCTGGCCGTGGCGGCAGAACGCGCATTGGCTTACTCGCTGCTGGAGTTGCCCCTGGCGGGAGCGGACGAATGCAACGGCACCGTGCCACCTCTAGGCGATCTTCTGGCGGATGCCCGTGACGCCGCCGTGGCAGTGCCCGCAAGTCGTGGGGCTCGCCCTCTGAGTTCACGGGCGGAGTGGCGCCTCCTTAGCTTCGTTTCTGTAGGGCGTAGCCTGCGCGCGCCGACTGCGAACGAAGATGCAAAAAGATCTGTTATTAAAAAAGCAAAGCTGCTGCCAGCCGAAGACGGGGGTACTTTA